TTATTGTACCTGTTGTTCTCTCCTGTACAGGTGTGATACCACACATGCTACACAAAAGCCTGGGAACATTACAATTGAGTAGAAATACATACATCACACTACAGAAGGCCGCTATATTGAATACATGCCATATTGTTAGGAAATTCCTTAATACAGACACTGACACACACATTTAATTTTAGTTTTGTTTTGGTTGCTATGCCTTGACTCTGGTCCGGCATAGTACACAGCCACCGGTTTAAACCGAGTATTACCTACTAAACCCAACATAATAATAATAATATCAGAAGTCCCGAAAGCACAGATTAATTACTAGGAATGTTAATAAACTTATATATAATACAGTATAACCTCCGAATGGCGGACACTATGGAGGACCGAAACACTTGCACGTTATTTAGAGGCAAATATTATTTGAAGGATGTAGAGATTGTAAAAATGTCCGTTAAGTACAGGTGTCCGCTATTCGGGAGTGTCCGTTAATACAGGTTTTATTATATATGACATTTTTATAACATGTTTTAAAGTAACGAAGATTGATTTTCTGCTTATCGAGATAATTGACAATGAAAAAACAATTGTTTTTCGTAGACCAGAAATTAAATTTGGTGCCCAAAAACAGAACGTGTCTAATGTACAACCCAATTTTAATAGAAATTAGGCTATTAGTCATTTTAAAATCCGGAAAATTTCCCGTTAAAAATCCTTAAGACGTCACACCCAGATGACGTCACGATTGCTCTGTGTACATTTTAAGTAAACAAAGAGGCGAATCTTTAAAATGGTGACCATTTAAACGCGTTATATTACGTATTTTCTAATTGTTTACGTAAAATGTTACCGGAAACGGAATGTATGTTACCTGGTCTCCTCCAGGGAATAACAGCAAAACGGCGACAACAGGTTGAGGAACAGACTGGAGAGCGTCTAGATCGATAACGTCTACGATGCCCCATTCGGAAGGAACACCCCCATCATGGAGGAACTGGAAACAAAGATAAATAAAGGCATTATTAAATATTTCTTTATTAAAAAAAAACTAAAAAAAAAATTAGTTTACAATTGTTTGTTTCGCGCATAACTTTGTTGCTATGCGGGTTAGTATTCGATCAATGCTTTAAACACTAAATAAAAAAATAAATAAAACTTTTTTTTTCAATTTTAAAATGTCTTAAAATGGATTCGTCTATTTAAATTGTCTTCATTTAAAATATTTTATTCCAAGTGTCTCCATTCGAATGACGTTGCAGCGTGAACGGATTAATTGAAAGTAGAAGATTCCTTTTCGGATGAATCCGGAACTCACCTTATTCATAACCTACCAAAATAAATTTATGAAAAATTAAAGAAAAAATGGAGAAATTATAAAAAAACAATTACGGTTGCACCTTTTCTTATGTACTACTTACATCGGGATTGGATTCCAAAGGTAACCACCTTGTGGACGTCATGATGGGAGCTTGCTTGTCTTCTGTGATCTCCGAATGTTACTGACGAATGACCTAATGGCGCACTGGCGCCACCTAGACCCACGTCATGTCTGGTTTTTCGATCGATTACCGAGTTATTCGGTACAGAATCGCTAAGTTACAACGCCATGCTTTAAACTACCGACTGCGAATGACGCATTTTACCCTTATCTTAGACGTGATGTAAAACATAATCGAGCATCAAAATGTTCCTGTTTATTCCGAGTTTAATTCATTTTCTATATTTATACCGTAATTTCCAATCAAAACTAATAATATACGTAATACACGAAAGAATTGTATAGCATCATTAACCAACCATTCATCCGTTTCTACGAAAAGTATCGATGCAAAAATATTTCGGTTTTATTATTAATAATCGGAATAAAAGTGGCGATTTGAATGTTAAATTCACAAAATAAAAAAAAAAAAAATTATCGATCCTTGTATTTTAAATTAAATTATTGACCATTTTCTACAATTTAACTGTGTTTTTTTTTACAGGTAGAAAGTATTGACTATTAATAAAATGGAGGACCGGCGATTGCTAAACGTATTATCGACATAATTTTGCCATCAATGATTTCATTTTCCAATGTTAATTTGCCCAATTATTCATAAATAAACATTTTAAAATCGGATTGTTCGATATAATTAAACAATTCAATTGTTTTTAACATAAAAATACGGTTATATAAAAGATTAATTATCCGATCGATTCATTGGTCGATCTGCAATGTAGCATAAGCTTTAACGAATCAGATGATGCGATTCAGAGATATATTTTAGTTTATATTATTTAAAATTCTCTCCTAAATTGTGGAAATCATAAAATTCTTAATTCCTGATTTTATAAATCTTTCATTTTATTGGGAAAAATCTGTAAATGTATTTATAATTGAGATCAACATACACAAAATATTTTTCTGCACAAAATTTCAAATTATTATTATTATTTTTTTTTATTAAAATTAAACATAAAAAACAAAAAAAAAAGAAGCTGGCACTAATTGGAAATTGCATAGTTGTTAACCACAATAATTATTATATATTCTGATATACAAAACATAATTGCAGTTTCCACTACAATGTGCGTTTATAAAGTGATTGTATTGTAATATTTACTTATATTTCATGTATAAAAGGAATAAATGTACAAAATTTTCTTTAAAAAACATCATTAAATAAATTTTGCATAAATTTTTCAATTTATCATATTCAAAAAAGTCTTTTTTTTTTCATTTTTTAACAAATTTATAAACATATCACATTATCAAAGACACACTTGCCTTTTTTCTTTTTAATGATATTTTCATTTGTAAGGTTTATCAAAAAATGAAAAAGTACTAACTTGTACTACATATTTTTTTCTTTATCACTATTTAAAAAAAAGTTCATTTTCAATGAAATCTATTGCAAAGCTATTTGCAGAGTGCATTAATTAGAGTATTACACACTTTCTTTCTACAATATACAGGTATATTTACATATATAAACACATGTTTATCAATCATTTGAAAGATATACTCCATTATTTTTTATATATATATAAAGTTAGTACTTATAACTTCTTACATAAATTAAATTTTCATCACATAGTTCCATCTAATTACATCATTTATAAACAGAATTACTTTAAAGTTTGAGGAGTAAAAAGTGTAGAAATTGAGGTAGTACATTAAGAAATGGCTACAGAATATTATATACAGTTTATACATTTTGAAGATTATTTAAAATGGAAATAAATCCTCCAATAATGATTGATAGTTTTAAAAATTTTCATGACATTTTGTCATATAAAAATAGGAGAAAGAAACTGTAATTAATTAATGCATCTTCCATATTTTTTTATATTAAATAATTAGCACCTTTCTCCAACCCAGACACTTCAAACAAATAATGAAACACATATTAAATCATTCAAAATATAAATTAATGATAAATCTTTATAAATCAACTTAAATTTATTTTATATATATATATAATATTTTATAACGTGTATATAAATATACACTACAGATATATACATGATATAAATGAACTTTATAAACTTTAAGCAAGTTAACATTTATAAAAACATGATTAATGCACGTAGGACAAAACATAACATTTATAATATATATATTAATATTCAAGGTACCTGTATTGTCATGTAAGTACAAAAACTTTTTATAAAACATAATTTCCATTAATTCTGTAGTCGTGAAATCATAATAAATATTTTTACATTGCTAACAATATAAAATTACCTAAATCTTATCAATAAACTAAAGCTATGACTAGGATTACACATTAACATCAAAATTTTCATTTGATATAAAATTTATCCTGGCAAATTTTTAAACAAACATTTTCGATACAAAAATTATGTGGATGTTGATATTGCATTGGTCTATGATATATGTCGGAGGCCTTTGCCTTCGATAAATATCTGTTGAAATTTGCTCATAGAATGAGAAACCGAGTTTCTTAATTTCTTATATTATTGTTTGTTGGATATGTAAGGCAATAAAATTACAAAATACAAAGTTGATTCATGATAATCACTTAGTGAATGCAAAAATCTAGTTTACAATGGCTAAAAATTGTCTGTTTGCAATCGATTTGAGACTGACTTGTCTTTTCTTAAATTATCACAAAAAAGTAACCACATATCAATTTCGTTCTAATTGATTTCGTGATAAAATATCAAAGATTTCATTAAAGACCAAATAAAATCAATAATATTTATATACAATAAATATAAATAGTCTTTTTTTTCAACTAAACTATTGTTTACATTTACAAATATAGTTAAACAACATTAATATAATGTTTAATATTTAAAAATCTCAGTTTTTTTCAAATACTGATAATAGAAAAATAAGGCAGCTTATGTCAACTGGTTATTTGACAATTGTTTTAGCACCATCCATTTATGACTTATTATTAGACAGATTGCTAAATATTTAAATGATGTCAAGCAATGATTTGATTTGGTGAATTAATGGAATGAGAAGAATCACAGATAGCAGAAACAGTTGGTATGTTCCCTTCTTGACACTCGTTAGCATTTTCGGGAGGATTTCCATTCCTTATGACAATAGACGAACCGCTCGATCCTCTTGACCAGGACACGGACAATGTCGACTGTTCCGAATATTTCTTATTTTCCTTCTGTTCTAATTTTGCACGTACTACATCTGATGGCCAAAACTGATTTTTAATTGACTGAATTACATACCTGATAAATAAAAAAATATAAATATAACAAATCAAAAGGAAAATATGAAAAATTAAATAATTATTTTATTAATAATGCATAACAAGTTCTTGAAAAGGAATTCAAACATTCAAATTTTTTTTATATTGATAGATTGTATAAAAAGTTTACATAATTTCTTTTAGAATATAATTATTCCTTAATCTATATATATAAAAATGAATGTATGTGTGTCTGTGTGTGTGTGTCCTTCATGCATTACCACACCGTTTATCTGATTGCCGTGAAACTTTGGGAAGTTGTTTAATATACTCCTGCGAAGGTTTGTGGCATAGTACGATTGCCATGAAACTTTGGAAAGTTTTTTAATAACCTCCCGCGAAGTACATTTATCCTACGATAGATGGCGCGCGTTTACACGAGCGTTCGAGCACTGTGTGTTGGATCCATTTCAAATTGTGAAGACCATTTTCCCCTTTCAAAAAATATCTCTGTATATGCATTTGTTATTTATGATATTTGTAATAATTTTTGTTTAATCACTTTATTTCAACTTTTTTTTGCTAATTATGTATTCGCTCGAACTTCGTTAAAACCTTAACTGTACCCCGAACAACAACCGAAGTTGTAGGAAGAAATTCGCGTATTTTACCGATCTAGGGATCCCCCCTTTTCCAAATTTTAATATCAACTCAAAATAATTTAAAAAGACAAATTACAATAAAACGGTTTATTATCCAACTAT